TTGCCTCGCGGGTGTGTGTCCTTGAATTTCCTTTTCGTCATGCTTGCCGCTTCCTATAGCGGTATCTTGATAGTTGAGGGTCGATTGGTACTCCTGGCCAAGCAGTAAATCCGGTTAACCTCCTTGAGCTGCACTTGTAAGGGAACGTTCACGAGGTGATGTGATCTGACCAAAATACTATCCAGGTATCACCAACACTAGATCTGCGAATCCCAACCTTCACTGAGCTTGATACGGCCAATATCGTTCCGGATCTTGAGGGCAGGAAGGCACTTGTGTAACACAGCATATTCGACTCTGATTTTATAGTTAGGTCCTATATACCAACTGCCTCTACCATCACAACCTCTTGATCCTTTATCTCCAGCTATGTACCTGTTCTTCCTTCTTGATCTTCGTCGTCCAGCTGTCCTTGTCTTGGCTGATCTGCAACGTAGTCCTCGTCTAAAGGCTGGGTATTGGCGGATCTGTCCCGATAATGACACATATATCCCAGATCCTGACACATACTCTCCAGATCTTGATAATCTTGATGATCTTGATCACTCAGAGTGTGTCGAGTCAGGATCCATCTTGATCCAACCTACACAAGCCTCCACAATGGTCTGACGGTATTTGTGTGTTTTACTAAACGGACCTCAGCGAGAGCAAGACCATACTCCTGTCCCGGTTGGGCCGAACCACCCTCTGCGCAGGCCATACAAGCGCCGACCTAGCTCGGCGAATTGTTGTGGGTTGTGTAAGGAATCCACATCTGACGGTATTTGTGTGTTTTACTACACCACATAAATAATCGAAAAAATAGTTTATCGCCAGGATCTTTTGTGTGCTGGCAAAGCATATACGCAACAAACCGTCAAAGATAGAATTATTTATGTTGAATAAATCATGATCAATTGCATAGGGATCGATAAATTTTGCTAAGAGCACCCTGGGCACTTCTAATATGTCATGCAACGCTTATTTATTCTTCAACAAGTGTCGATTGTTAAAGAAAGAAAGTGCAGTGTTGTAGTGTTGTTCACATCAAATATGGCCTTAACGCATTGCATGTACTCAGTTCAAATATCAGGAATCAGGCAATCTGTCTTAGAACACTTTCCACGTTACATTACCTAACTCCTGCATTAGCCAAATCGATAACTCTTCGCTAGAAGATGCGATACAAGTGTACTTGTGGGCTCGTACCTCCTACTTAATGCATTGATAGGACTAATAAACATCCAATCCTTCGTTTAACGCAGAAAAGTATGTATGTATGAAATTTGCTGGCCCACTCAGCTGCTGGCGAAGAATTGCATCAGACCCGACCTACCTGGGGGCCTGCAGTTGTGTCGTAAACTGCTTGTTAATAGTATGAATGACGAAGGACAAATTGCATATCATTGCTATAACCATATTATCTGGTTATGTACACTGCAAATGTCTTCTGCGTTCTTCACATAATTTCTCAATTGTGTCAAACTGAGTTTTTTTGGGGGCTTGCGAATTTTCTGTTCTAGTGTGCAGTGGTCCCACGACAATTACTGTCGTGGAAGAAACTCGTTCTTAGTAGGCAGCTGAAGATACTTTGCCGAGTAAGAACAGCAATGAACGGAACTGCTTCTGCCCGTTCTCACGAAACCAGTGCAAAATGTCAATCTGTTGATAGAGCTCGAGCAGATTCTAAGCGTCGAAGACGCCATTACTCAACGTAAGCTCCGCTTCTTGCTCCCATTTTACATCTTCCGCATTTTCGTTCTGTTTTCGATTGTCTATGATTTGGGGAGGGGAGAGCAAAGACACTTCCACACAGCCAATTCCAGTCGCATCCACTCAATAATTGATTCGGCCTTCTCTAGCAGTGATTTTCACGAACTAGATTCTTGGATGGAGAGGGACTGGGGCGCCGAACAGGAACGCTCGATTTGACCAAGGAGCTACAGGCTCGTTGGAAGTAATGTCATCTTTGACTTGGTTCTGCAGCTATCGTGAATGAGGAGGTTCACGAACTGCAGTCCTAGCACCGTTCCCATATAATGAACTGTAATAACGTGGCGATTGCAGTCGTGAAAAGAATGAACCTCGCGTTCACGGTAGTATCACGAGTGTCACGGGAGGTTACTTTTTAGCTTGTGTCTCCCGCCGCAATCCCAATCATATCGACGAATAACCCCATTTGAGTAATATTGGAGGGTAGTCCTTCGCTAATCCACCACTTCGCTATCATAGTGTTGGTTGGCTCATGTGACGGTCTGAAGATCTCTACAATGGATGACTTCTTTGCACGACGAACGGGGGGTATTACTCTGTGATTCCCTCGAAAATCCGACAATGCATTGGTTGTAGGTGATGTGCAGCAGAGGCCTTGCTTCCACGTATTCTACTGGTACGCCGCTTGCTATTCGCGTTCTCAACGCAAACTAAATAAATATTGTGGGCCTCCTTGCCTCGTGACCTGCGTGGCTTCACAAATGTTTGGAGCTCGTGAATGCGATCCCAAATGTCATGGGAAAAGTTATCACAACGGAAGTGCACTATCTCCTGCAGGATGCCGAACGAGTCATACCTCTGTGCAGCGTCAATGACACAGTCATCATCTCCACCCTGGTCAGACTCGTGATCCAACCATCAACGACAGGTGTCGCCTTATCCTCAAGTTGACTGACAGTATATATCGGGATATCATCCCCGTCCTCTATCACAATCATATCTGCATCGCTTTCAGTGTCCTCTCCAACTTGCAGTTGGTCCATCTCGACGCAGACGTTGAGCAAACCTGAGCAAGTATGGTGAGCACTTGATACTATGATGGTGAGAATACCGTAGGTACTTACCGTTTGTTCTGCGTCTTGCTGTGTATTTTCAAGCTGCAAAGGTGGTAGACTACCACCGTACACGTTGAGCAAGGCTGGGTTACAACGTTATCTGGCGGCTCAAACTCGCAATGCTTTGCCATGCTCCGCATTGTTGCTGTTTGGGTTTGAATCCAGATGAAGAGTGATTTTCAAGCAGCTAAATGAGGGCTACTTCACTCTTCCATTTTATCTGCAAAATATTAGCAGTTTATTAATATTGGAAGCAATGGAGTATATTTATCAGTACATACTTTGTTCAAGAGAGAACCAAAACTTTATCGATAAAAGTAAAATCATCAGTGACATTGTGGGTTCTACTCCATTTTTTTTTGATGGGCGACTGATCGAGTCGAGCGCAAGTCAATCGCGCGAGCCTGTCAGCAGAATACGATATGTGATTGAAAAGTATTTTGTCTTCACGATGCATTTTTTTTTCTCTGGTCGCTCATCGGACTGGGTGATGCATACTCTGTCTGCTGCGTGGCTTCGCGTTCCCAGACAAGTAGGATGTAGCCAACGACCGCATTGCTGTCGTCAACTGCGTGAAGGACAGCGTCAGCATGCGCGGGTGCCGCCATTGATACGGCGCGGGGGCGTGGTCTTGGTTGACCCAAGCTGGACTGACAGGAAAGTCATCGTTGGGGCTGTCGTTCCGAGTAGCTTAAATATGAAGGTGGAGCAGCTTAAGCGGCCCCTGGGCAAGGAGCATAAAATTTGAGGTAAGGTAAGGATCAAGTTCAAGCATCCACCAAGGAGAGCAACAGCAAGATGCAGATAGTTCATCCATGTATCATGTAAAGAGAACACAACGCTAGAGCTTCTTTTAATTAATTTGCGCTAGATACTGTGGGGGCTAGAGGCAACTGGCTAAGGCCTCCTTCACAATTGCTGTCATTCTGATAAGGCTGACTAAGATCGAAAGGATACAGTTTATGTTTCGCAAAATGAACGACGTTCGTTGATTTAATTGGCGGCTGAATGAACCATATATAACCGAAATTTACAATAAAGTTACAGCTGAAAAGACCACGTGCTACTCACTCATTGACTCACTCACTGACTCACTTACTGACTCACTTACTGACTCACTTACCACTCACTTGTTAACTTGCAAATTAGTTTCACAATTAAAAACATTTTCATTTTGTTCAGGTTACCATGAAACTAGCCTGTTTATACTGAAATGGGTCAAGTTTTCTTACTTGTTGCTTTCACCAATGATTGACTGCTCATACTTACCCGCACAGGGAATATCACCTGATAGTAGCTCTGTCATGATCATTCTAATGATCATTCTAATGGTCTGCAATGACCTACCTAAATTTAGCAATGGAATTAGCAGCTACACGTTGCTCATTCATGATAATATTCGGTTACTTCCTTAAAAACCGGCGTTCAGTTGTCTGTCTTCCATCCCCTTTGTCGTTTCTGGACGCAGTAACAGCAGATCGTTTGTTGAGGACGACCCGCCAAGATTAAGCCTTTATGTTTATATAGCTAATATAAATGCATCATGGCTTCACCTTGGTTTTCAATTGATGTAACGTTATTATGTTAGCTGGTAAATCCAAACTTTCACCTTTGATATTCAATTGACAGCTTGGCCGAGTGGTTAAGGCGATGGACTTGAAATCCATTGGGGTAACCCGCGTGAGTTCAAACCTCACAGCTGTCGAGTTCTTTACTCCATATATGCTTTTGAAAGTTCTTGTCGTTCTTGTCGTTGTTGTTGTTGTTGTTGCTGCCGATGTTGTTGTTGTGTGGGTATGCTTAATCGATTTTGCCGCCCGATTTGCTATTTTAGCTTGGAGGCCAATTTCAATAATGTGGACAGAGATTAGGGTAAGTTGGAGCTATATTTCAGCAGGTTTAGGAGCTTGTGGGTCAAAGGATATCATGTTACGTTGACCATACTTTTCACGATGACTTGTTAGGCTTAACCCTTCACGAGCCTTGTCTAAAGTAAAGTTTACAAGACTAGATCACTTGCTCCTAAAAGGACCCATTTTTCACCCTACTACAATATCACGGTACTCGTTTTGGACCATCTATTGTAACAATCATTGGAGATACTATGTTGATACAATCAGTCCCAAGAATAACATTTGAATAAAGTATACCATGTTGATTACGAATTGGGACCGAAGAGACGCCCGTCTATTATGACGAGGATCCCGAGTGCCTCATCTTTTCCGGATGATAGAAAACATCCAGATGGTGAAAAGAACACGCAGTGAGACGAGCTTGGACTAAGGCTGGACTCAGCAATTAAAAAAAGTCTAATCATTTGAAGCGTATAAATTTAGAGTCAACAGGACTTGTTATTGGGTAAAATGTTAGGAGGATTAATGAGTCCTAAGAGTATTGTGATTTTCATTGAATTGACAAAATGGATGATCAGAGATCTGATGTATCGGACATGATTAGCTGAAAGCCTCCGACATAGAAAGAAGGATTTAGGTAAGGTAGCCATATCGGGATCGATGAGTCGCTGGGTGCTCAGAATTGCAAAGCAGGGGCCAGCATTGCGGTCGCCCGAACGCACTAAGGGTATCTCCAATTAACCACATTATTGAAATTGGCCTCCAAGCTAAAATAGCAAATCGGGCGGCAAAATCGATTAAGCATACCCACACAACAACAACATCGGCAGCAACAACAACAACAACAACGACAAGAACGACAAGAACTTTCAAAAGCATATATGGAGTAAAGAACTCGACAGCTGTGAGGTTTGAACTCACGCGGGTTACCCCAATGGATTTCAAGTCCATCGCCTTAACCACTCGGCCAAGCTGTCAATTGAATATCAAAGGTGAAAGTTTGGATTTACCAGCTAACATAATAACGTTACATCAATTGAAAACCAAGGTGAAGCCATGATGCATTTATATTAGCTATATAAACATAAAGGCTTAATCTTGGCGGGTCGTCCTCAACAAACGATCTGCTGTTACTGCGTCCAGAAACGACAAAGGGGATGGAAGACAGACAACTGAACGCCGGTTTTTAAGGAAGTAACCGAATATTATCATGAATGAGCAACATGTAGCTGCTAATTCCATTGCTAAATTTAGGTAGGTCATTGCAGACCATTAGAATGATCATTAGAATGATCATGACAGAGCTACTATCAGGTGATATTCCCTGTGCGGGTAAGTATGAGCAGTCAATCATTGGTGAAAGCAACAAGTAAGAAAACTTGACCCATTTCAGTATAAACAGGCTAGTTTCATGGTAACCTGAACAAAATGAAAATGTTTTTAATTGTGAAGCTAAGGTCGTGTTCGGTTTCACGACATAGTAGCTGGATCGGGTCACAAACAGCTGCTTTTGACATGAAATTGCACTTTCATCCTAGATATGCAACTCGAACACAAATGTGCACTAATTGCTGCTTTACTGGTTCTCAAAAACGTGCCGGAGCTGTTTTTTAAAACCAGTCGTCTAGACCCCCTCCCCAATAGTGACCAAACTTTCTCATCTTGCAAAAAAGACAGCAGCCATGACTGCTGCAGCCAAAAAGAAGCGTCGGACTTGGACACAAGAAGAAGAGAATCAGCTACTCCAATACTACTTTAGCGCACGCAACGATGCATCGTTGAAAAGCGATAAAGGCATCAAGTCCAAAGCATGGACTCTGATTGTTTCGCGCTTGAAGAAAGATGGCGTCAAAAAGGCGAGGCACTGGGAATGTAGCTGGTATTAGACGCAGTGTTCCTTTTTGATACAGCCTGTAGAAGCCATAAGTCGTCGTCATCATCGTCTCCAACCATTTTGGGTATGATCCTGCAACCGACAAGCAGGCTATCTACCTCTATTTAACACTGTGGTGTTACAATCAATTGGTTGGCTACGGTTATTGGTGTTGTACTTGCTTTGTTGACGCGTACACAGCAATTTCAGCCGGAGCGTTAATCACGCGATTTGGTAATTTAAAGTCAAACACGACCTAATATGCGAGTTAACAAGTGAGTGGTAAGTGAGTCAGTCAGTGAGTGAGTGAGTTAGTGAGTGAGTGAGTCAGTGAGTGAGTCAGTGAGTGAGTATGTATATGGAACCAGTATTGTTATCACTGTTGGAAAGGTTGAATGCTTGAGCAGCCAATCAAATCAAACCTTCATGTTTTAACTGTGAGCGCTAGGCAGTGCCTGACTGAGCGCCGCAGAGTGTACAGAAAAGCTGTTGGTGTATTCTTATGGCTTGTTATTTGACTGTGAATGGCACTGAAGGCTAGAGCCATTCCCTCCACGTAATATAGTTTCAACATATACACTTCGCCAACCCTTCCTACCAAGTTGTTTGGTGGTGCTGGTTGCTGCAGTGACTGCACATAGTTAGGCAGCATCCACTTCACCGGATAGTAGCTAGTATCACGTATTCCTTGCGCCGGTGCCACGTGAAACATCACCGCCACCGTCCGTTTTGCATGTACTTTTGCGATAATTTCATTGCGGCCAATCAAATCAAACCTTCGGCGCTTTCTTTTTACCAATCAGAGCAAACCTTCCTGTTTTTGGAGGAAGGTTCGAGTTGAAAAGGACGGGATAGGTAGATTTGATCTGATTGGCTGCTGAAACCTATCGTCTAACCGTGATAACCCCTCTTGTCATCTCAAGATATCATGGTCAAGTTTTCATAAAGCCCTGAAAGAGAGCAAACTCGAAACGTCGAAAAAAAAATGGTGAGTAGGGTTATTTGATTTTACGTGCTCTTATTGGTATATACGGCCTTTCACTGGATATGCTCTGCGTGTGCAATCACAGAAATGTTTTTTTTTCTTTGTACAGTTGTGTACTTGCCATTATCTTAACTGGTTTGACATAACTTTTAACCATTTTGTTCCCCATACACTTCCTATTGTACGTAACAATAGGAAATGTATGGGGAGCTTGCCTAATCAGTCACTGTCGTAAAATGATGCATAATGCCACGTCTGACAGCTGTGGTGAAGCGATTTCCGAGAAATGTCATGAAGGACGCTTCCCAGACTGATTAATCAAGATGATGGATGGCGACCTGACACTATTCCAGAAGAGTGACAGGATCAAAATCGTTCAAGGTTGAAGAGGCGGCGAGAGTGGCACCAAGGATCTCGCGATCTGGGTTCAGTGGATCTGGATCCAAAGGATCCCAAGGCAAGATCGCGATCCTGGTCGGCGTCGAGAAGGCAAGGCGATCTCGGAAGGCAAAGGTGATCAAGGCTATAAGGACATGAAGTGGAAGTCTACGCTACGACGAACAGGTGAAGTAAGCATGATGAGTGTTCAAGGTGATGAGCAGAGGTAGAATCAGTAGCATATGGCCGCCTGGTAGTCGTGATGATTGATGGGACCACCAGGCTAATACATAAATCAGAGTCGAATTTGCACTGCAGACCACACGTGTCTAATTTGCATCAGGAAGGGCAAGTGACCGCTGCGACGAAGGAGAGGAATTACATTAGCCGCTTGCAGCGCTAACCTGTGTAGAGTTAGTTGATCTAGTGTGTGTTATTAATATCTGGTAATATATATACTGGATCCAGCCACCTAGTGATCTACTCTCAAATATAGATCCCAGATCACTCGGAGTTCATTGCTTGGCCGGCAGATCCCTCGACTCTCAACGGCCCCCAAGTCCCCGCTATAGGAAGCGGCAAGCAACCGTAAAGGAAGACCTACAAGGCAACCCCCCCCCCCCCCCCAACCAACCAAGGCAACCCTAAGACCGGGTCCAGATCCAGGCCGTCAGATCCAAGCTCGAGTAACCGCTTAGGATCTGGACTTCTACGGCAGCAGAGCGAAGAGTTTCCGCGCTGCTCCACCCCATTTCCCACGTCTCGCCAAGGCGTTCAAGCCTCACACCTTGAACTCTTCAGTAGTTACTGGAAGAGCAAGATCCTGCCCATACCTTCGGGTACACGAGGTGAGGATGTTCAGCACAAGATCACGGATCATCGGGGGACCACCTCCGTTAGTCGGTAGTCTGGGCCAGGTGGAAAGAGGGAACCGGCGATTTCGCAGATTTCGCTGATCCCGCTACATCACAATGACAGCCATCCAAATATTAACTTAGGGAAATCTCGAATATAAACGCTGATAATTTGTAAAACGTGAGATAGCATTATGATGCAGCCCGAAAGGGCATAACGAATAACAGAACAGAATTTCCACTCAAGCACACGAGCGAGGTCCGGCTTCAAGGTAAGAGGCTTTTCGGGGAACAGTGGTTTTATTTTGTAGTGGCTTTCTTTTCAACTATCGATTGATCTGATTGGTCGGACACGCTTCTTTACCGATTTGCAACAAAACACCCTGAAGAAGGTGTTTTGTTGTCAAGGCCACCGGTTTTGGCTGGCTTACCACCACCAACCCGTCAATGGAGCACTGTGAGCTCCTGGTCGCGGTATCTACAGCTGCTGCTGTACAAGCTGCTGCCACGGCTTAACGAGCACCCCCGGAAAACATTCTAACGCTCCACAACATCGACTTTGACATGATGCTCGCTCAAGAGGAGTATGACGCTTGGTTTCGTCGTCATCTTCGCTGCAGCCAAGCGTCATTTCGAGCCATCTGCTCCATTCTTCGCGGCGTTTTACAAGGTTACACTGTCGGCGCATAAAACAAACTACACGGATTCGAGAAGAAGGTCGCTATGCTGCTACATTTTCTGGCAACTGGAAAGGGCTATAGAGGCACTGGGCCTGCGGTTTTGATTGAGAGCTCTCCGTGCCATCGCTTTTTGCGGTTCTATGCGAAATCCAGTGATTATTTCCCCGAACAGCCTCTAAGCGTCTGGATAAGTTTGTCTGAGTGTGTTATGCCTGTCGGTGGACTCGAAGCTTACTCGCGAGGGTTTATTTGGCAAGGCCAAGTGTGGTGGAGTGGG